TATGGCGCGGTCGCCTTTCTTGTGGATTGGGCAGAGCACACTTGTTGTTTTTCTATTTGTATGTATTCGTACATCGCCATAGTCAGGTGATGGAACATCGTCTCCGTCTTCAACCGACTTTGTTGAAGATTGATCTCAGAGAGCAGGTGTGAGAGTCGAGTGGTGAATAAATTGGCGGTAATGTCAGCTTTTACCCTTACGAGGACATCAACCAGCCGGGCAGAGGCACATTCGCTATTGAGGGTCCGGACATTCCAAGAGCAAGCCCTTAAATCGTAGTACTTTAAACATATGCCGTGGTCGTCATCAAAGGAGGTGGGGTCTCATCAGTGGCTTTGTTTTATTTTTCATTGGAAGAGTATTTATGTAGCGGATCCCAAACCCATTGTTGGGTGGAGATTGGTTTCTTAACCGAATACACAGATGCCCAGTTGCAGTCGCATCTACTGGTTAACAGCCGCTGCTTACTTCAGTGAGCCCTTAAACCCACCGAAGCTACCTCTCTTTCTGCCGTGACCCAAGGCTCCATTCAGGTTGGTTACCGCATCTCGCACATGGCTTGCTCACGTTGTCCAGAGTTCCCGATCGAAAACGCTAGAGCCGGGACTGAGTATAGCCGTGCAACTGGAACTGCATACCCAGAACAACGACTATACCCCGTTGCACCCCACAATCTTAGCCACCCAAGAATTAAAGTCGACAACCGCGTTTATATGCTTCTTCCAAATGCTCTAAAAATCACCATAATTAGGATAATGTTGCTGATTGGTAATGTTGATTCGGATTATGGCAGTTCGTTCACTGATAGGAGAGAAGCTGCAGACAAATGTCAGAGTCTCCGGTTGACTACAAATCCTACGCTGCGTAAAGATAAAGGGAAAAATGAAGACCAAGATAAATTTTAACACTTTACTTATATATACAAGGGCAATGATGAAGGGGAATATCGCTACCTTAGAATGCAAAGTTGCTAAGTCCACTTTTTATGTAAACTCATATTTTGATATAAGAGGCTAGAGAAATTGAGTATGCATCGTTTCGAAAATTATAAAGGTACTTATTTTATTTTTTCCTCTTCATAAGCAATAAAAGGAAAATTTGCTGTCCAAAAGAAGCACCACAACTCCGATAAGGCCAAAATAATACGACATCTTTTAATAAATATCGAATCCTTCTGTTTTTTATGGAGTTTTGCTTTGCTTTAAACGCGCAAAATGTTTGATTCGAAGTCTAGCGAAATAGTTAAAGCAAATGGCTATAGGAAGATTTTTTCCTCTCCTGTAAAATTTTTAAAATGGGACTTAGCAACTTTTCTTTCTAAGCTAGCGATATGTAGATGAAGAAAATGATAAACATAAAAGTAAAAACAAAGATGAGGATAAAATAAAGGTAATTAAAGAGGAAAGGATATAGAGAGAGACACAGAGACTCAATCTGAGAACTATTTTGGGATTTTAGAGATTTTCGGGATTCTCGAAACTTATCGATAAAATAATCGATATTTTTATCGGTTTTGTTATCGATATTCTTATCGATTTTGTTATCGATTTGTTATTGATATTTATCGATTTTGTTATCAATATTTATTGATTTTGTTATCGATATTTATCGATTTTGTTGATATTTATCGATATTGCTATTGATATTTACTATTGAAATTCACCTAAGATTTAACTGCCATCGATGATATTGATGCTGGCCATGTATGTATATCATTTGTGAGAAAAATTTGGTATTGAATTGCATAGTTCAAATTAACATTAGTGATGACAGCTAAGCACCAGATGGGTCCACCATCGGAAAGTAGTTTTTCTTAAAATTACAGATAGACTGTGTTGAATATAAGCCCTAGATATATTGATTATAACACAAATTATATATGTAACGTAAGTTTCACTTCTACAGTGTGGCCCAGGCGCACTTACTTTTTTTATGCAGGCTTTTACACTTTTTGAAATATTTCAGCAACCATTCCTTCGAATCTTGTTTTTTTTATAGCAATTAGAGAACTTATTGGGCAACAAAATAAAGTGACCAGTTTGTAAAATTTCGATTCTTGTTTTATAAATTTTTTTTTATTTTTTTAATCAATTGAATTTTTTTCCAACTTCTCAAAAACCTAGGACAATAATTCAAAAAGCATTATTTGCTATAAGCATTCAATTTTACTTTTTTACAAGTTTAATATAATATAATACAAACGAACTGAAAAGCAAAAAATTAAATTTTCAAACTTAAGTATCAAATAAAGAATTATCAAATTATTTTTTTTTTGCTTTTCAGTTCATTTGTATAATATTTTTTTTTAAACTTGTTTCATTTTTTTGGTAAAAAGCTTTAAATCAATCAAAGTCATAGTAATTTTTTGTATGAAAGTAAAATTGAATGCTTAGCGTAAATAACGCTTTTTAAATTATTTTCCTAGGTATATGGTAAAATAAATTCAATCGATTAAAAAAATAAAATTTTTTATAAAACAAGAATCGAAATTTTACAAACTGACCACTTTATTTTGTTGCCCAATAAGTTCTCTAATTGCTGTCAAAAAATCATAAGATTCGAATGAATGGTTGCTGAAATATTTCAAAAAGTGTAAAAGTCTGCATAAAAATTTGCTTGTAAACAACTTGTAAAAAAAAAAATAAAATGATCGGAAAATCTTTGGTGTCAATATTGCACACCATGTTAACTTTCAAAATCGGTCAATGAGATATAAAAAATCGAAAAGTCAACTTAGGGTGGCCCAGTTGAGAAAACTTGCCTCTTGGGCTTCCTGAAATGGATATTGCGCCTATACAAAACGACAAAATACTGAACTTTCTGGAAGTATGTATAATAAATCCATTGAGCCTCGAGTCTATGCTATTTTTATGCTTACCACAAACATGTACATGCAAACATATACATATGTATGTACATAGTACATATCACTAGCAGCAAAAATTAATGCGAGCACAATTTTAGCAACATCATCTCTACTCGTTTGAGATTTTGCCAAAAGGTGTGGTTTTCAATTCTGTTGCAAACATTTAATTTAATTATTGTGACAACTGCAATTATGGCACCAAAGAAGTGCGGGCCATAAAATAACCACAATACGAAAATGATAAATGCTATGGAAATCGGCAAATCAAATTTTTAAATTGTTGTTTGTACACTAACTTTGTTGCACCTGGCTTTGTGGCAACAATTGTTCTCTACTTAAATGTTGCATGAACGACTGCTGCTAGCGTGTTCATTGCGCCGTTATTGCCATTTCGTTCGAACACATTTTCCTGCACAATTAATTAAAATTTTATGCCTGCATGCGAAAATTGTTGGCAATGAAATGTAGCTGACAAATATATGTACGTCCACTGAGGAAAATAATGCATAGTAAAAATGAATACTTTATATTTGATTATCGTTTAAAAATGTTCGTATTTAAAAACAATATTTTCATACAAAATTTATTACGCACGTATTTGACTGTTCACATCTGAGTATGTATATGAGTGTACATACGCACCCCAAGCATGCAGAGCGCCGCTCTGAGAGCGGTGACAACACACACATTCATACATAGTACATGTTTATCCGTACAAATCGCGTGCTGTGGCGTTGATAGATATTCAACATTTGAAAGGAAATTTATATGCCTGGGTGTAGCTGACTGCGCAAAGATGCATGCCACAATTTGTTGATATCCAGAGATGGTCAGGGTTCGAATTCCACTGCAGGCAACATGCAAGTTAAATATTTATTTTTTTTTAGTTTTGGTCTTGTTTATTCACTTCACGGATGCTTTTTCAGAACGAACGCGGTCATTTTAATATGCGCGTAATTGAATTGAATATTTACCAATACACAGTACTTTCGTTGACGTTTATAGTAAGATCAATTACGTTTCTATTTGATTTTAAGATTTTTTCCCCTCAGTGTACATATGTATGCACTCGTACATAGCAACCAGCCAGTGCATCAAGAGATTTCAAATGCTTGGGCCGCATCCACCTCATAAATATGTTTGTAGTATATTTATGTGCATATGCATATACCAGTGCAATAAAATATGCCGCAGGTTGCGCGCATTAAATTATTGTCTTGTTGTTATTACAATATGTTAGCGACAGGCGGAAGAAATATGGCGATAAGTGCAATTTGAATTTTGGTTTGATGTATGCGAATTTTATCGGGAATTTCATCAATTGCCGCTTCGTCTGCTACTGTTTGGTTTTTATTATTTCGGGCATGATTTGGGTTTATTTGCAACAAATAAATATTTGTTTTGAATTTATGAACGTACATGTTA